TGATATCCAATTCTAAATTAAAATCTGTGTAAGTACATATATATTATAGTTTTAAATATACAATATAGTTTTTATACAGAATAGTTTTTTTTTTTAATGCAGTCGCCGATCATTTTCTGGAATTAATTTTAATTTAGTCATCAATTATTTTTTAAATTTTCGTATTTTTCAAAGTTTTATTTCAATGTAATTTGTAATACAAAAGATTAAAAATAATACATCTATTATAGATCTATATTAAAAAAGAAACTATTACTTTTTAAATTGATGATTATTAGTTTTTACATTTTTGTACCAATATACCTATATTTTGAATTTATATTATTCTAAATGTATGTTTGATGTATAAATATTGAAAGTTGGACTTAGTTGTTACTAGTTTTATTACCAGTTATTTTTTGTATATATATACAGTACCCACGGTGCACTTTAAACTTTATGATGTACCTAAATTATGATAATTAATTAACTAATATGGTACCTACAACACTAGAAATTTATACACCAACTGTCATTCACATTTTCATAAAAATTTTGTTTTCTAGTTTAGCTTTTCTAAGTCTAAAATATAGGTACAATAAAATAAAGCATGCTAATTAAAGAACATATTTTATTATCAACTTTACACACAATTACAACAGCAATTACAAATACATTTGATTTTTGTAGCACAGAGTTTTCTTTAAACAGTTGGTTAATCAAAAATAATTTATTTAATAATATCCAACAATTTAATATAAATGATGAAATTAATTTAGTTTGTAATGATGGTGAAACAATATATAATGACAGTGTTACCAAAGGTGTACTATTACCATTACATTTTCAATTTAAAACTATTTTTGAACATGAAAACAATTTTGATATTACTTTAAAAATGTATGAACAGCTAAAAATCTGCTCAAATAATGAAACACAAATTAAAAACTTTATTCAAGGGCAGTTATGGAAAGATAAAATTGCTCCATATAAAAATAAAATTGTCATTCCATATTTTATGTATACATATAGATGACTTTGAAATCAATAACCCATTAGGTTCACAGTTTCACACGCATCTGTACATTCTGTTTCAGCAATTTATTATAGTTTCCCTTTATCTGATCAATCAAAACTTATAAACATACATTTAGCTGCTCTTATAAAGGCACATTTTCCCACAGAAATCAAAGTAGGTACCTAGTTTATATTATTTCTCCTAAGAATTGATAAAATTGATGTAATTTAATGTGCTTGTAATTTGTTATAGGATACTTATTTTCTAAAAGATGCCAAAAATACTTCACCTAAAGGCAAATTATATGCCAAATATTACAATACCATAAGGTATATGAAACAAAATGGTTTAATACCTGCAGCAATTGGTAAAGAGAGATCTTCAAAACCATTGAGTCGTACAATGGACAAAGAAAATAGTATCCTCGGTAATATGATTAATTTTAAATAATTATTCGAAAAATATTTCAATTTGTATTAACTTATGAAAATTCAACATTTATTTAAGTTACCTATGTGTGAGTATTAGTACATATTATACTATATTTGCTTTATACTGCCATGCTGGCTTTGAACACAGTCACTGGTGATGTAAACGGCTAACATACCTACAACCTAGGTACCACCTGACACGGGCAGTTTGAAATTATGATACTAGGTGTTGTAAAACACATGGTACATGACATACGTAGCCACCCACCCATGTCTTCAGTGGACTTTATAATAAATGTAAATTTTGTACATATAAAGGTTAGCATCAACCTACCTAACCCCTAATATATTTCAGAATCTGTACCAAAAAATATTGCATAAGTACTCAAACCGCCTCTGCCACCTGACCACTGCTGATTTAAAATATTCCCCTCCCCCCTGAGCTTCTTTAAATTAATAATGTATACCTACCTATCAACCTATCTTTAAAAACAATAGTTTAATATAGGTAACACAGAATATAATATTTACTCTTAATTCTTATGGTATTATGTATATAATTCACAGCTACTGACCCTGATTCTGAATTAGTGTCGACATATCTAAATGATAAAGATCTAACATGGCCAGAAATAGAAGACATTTGGAGAAAAACTATCAATTACCGTCTAAATTATATAAAACAAAATAATGCTACAGACATCTTTAATAATTGGCAACAGTATACTCAACCAATGGGTTATAAACTTGTAAGTCTGAAATATTATTTAATAAGTTCATAGATATTCTATGAAAATAAGTATTTTTTCTCTAAGGCCTCACCTTTGTTTAATTATGTATTCTAGTTACCTACTTCTACATTGCCATGATCACTATATAATTTTATACTGCATTTATAATTTATACGCATTTGAAAATAAATGTATTATTCATAATACAACTGTAATAGACTCCTACAGTTGTATTAATATTGTCCTTACTATAATAATTAAACTAAAAAAATATATATATTTTTATGGATTAATGGATTTTATACAATATAGGTAGGAAATTAAGCGAGTGGGAGAACGCCGATTTTTAGAATGTGGATACGAGTCGTTGACCTACCCTACGGCGTGATGAATGGATCTTCGCAGGAAAAATTTTTTGTGTCCGTATATAATATTGCCTACGTTTAGCCCCTTTTTTGCAGCTATCAAAACGTGATAACATAATTTTCATTATAAATTATATTATATTTTATTATAATTGAAATAGTTAAATATATATTATAAACTAAGTATATTTGATGATATTATTGTGAATAAAGTAATTTATATATTATAACCTATTTACATGGAACATTGTTTTAAATTTTCAATCTTTAGCTATAAAAGTTGAACATTTAATAATACATTTTTAAGTACAAAAAAATTATTAAATTTTAAATTTGATAAAGATTGTCAAAATTCGAACTATACACAGAAAGCAATCGTGTAATGATAATAATATTATTATTATTACAGTACACAAATATTGTTATAAAAATGTTATTATAATAACATACCTAACTATCCAACCAACATAATATTTTTTCAGTAATTTAATAATAATATTATTTTTACATTTTTTTTATATGGTAATAAAAATATTATTTTATAGATATTATATTAAAATTATTATAATATTTTTATCGTATTTAATTATTAATAATATTATAATATTTTGTATGTATGGTAATAATAATATAATTTAACAAATATAATAAGCTATTGTAATAAAGAAAGTATAGTATTATTATAATTATGAATCTTGAACATCATTTAATACCCTTTGAATAGGAATCAGTTAGATGGTAATATAGTGTTATATAAAATAAAATAAGCTACCTGCCAATTTTGCTCTATCAGCTGTAATAAAACTTAATTTGCCAATTTCATTTTGGTGCCATAATTGAGTATTGCTACATCTTATATATATATGTATTATGTATGGTACTTTAAACTTAGAGGTACGGAAAAATATGAGAGTAATAAAAATGTTATCTTTTTTATTACTTTAGCTTATATTTTTCTTTTATTCGGTATAAATCCAGCAGATAGTCCTATGGATAGTATATTCAGTGGTAGGTAATAAGTGTCCCACATGTTCTGGTAAACACAAAATTATCAATCTCTCATTTCTCTCATTCAACTACAGAGATGTAAAATACAACTAATTCAAATTACGATAACCATACGAATTTGTAAACTCAATATAAATCGATATCTAAGATAGTTGTTTATATGTTTACTGAAATCGTAACGAATCTAAAACTGTTTTGGAAATTTTATAATATAAGATGCCTAGTATCTACAATGGTTACAACTCAGCATTCTTATATGAATATATGATATTTGACAAACATGTACAAAACTGTCACTGTTAAATTATAATTATTTTATTATTATATTTAATATAAATTGTTTTATGGATATAATATGAAGGACATCATAGGTATCCACTGACAAAAAATAGGTGATGAATAAAATAACATTTTTAAGAAAAAACTGATATATTAAATAATGTCATTGATTATAAAAAAAATACCTTATAGGTAAACCTAAAATAATGATCATTAATCATTATTAACGAAATATTTTTTATCGTACGGAATTACTGATGGTGGTAGCAGTTGTAGTTGGAAGACTGGTAACCGCCAACTGAATACTGTAGGTACATCTACGGCATTCTTCTCATTAGATCTGTAAATATTATTGCATATTAAAATTTGGACATTGTAAATTTATAATTCTAAATTCAGAATGCTTCACTAATCCATCAAAAACACAATAATTCTGATGATAACTCTTTGTTAATGCCCCAGCAAACATACTAATAATTGTAGGTATATTGTTTATTATTATCATTATTAAAACAAACCAGAGCTGCTATATAGAAAGTGTCCCGTGTACCTCGTCATTGAATACTTTAATGGATGTGTTAAATTTGTTCAATAATAACTTAATAACAATAACCGTATGACTGTTTATTTTTAAATCGTTTTGATAAGAATAAATAACAATTGGCCTATTATTTTAACCTATTTTAGTCTTGAGTCTCTAATCAAATTCGATTTCATAGATAACTGTTTCGCGAAAAAATATTTGTTTTTCCCTATTTATATTTTTGTTTTTCCAAATTATTTTAAAAAGTTGACTGACTTTTTTACTTTTGATTCCCTTCTCTCACCAAAATATCAACTGAGTCAAATCATATTCCAGAAATACCCTCATAGTTGAAGATTGAAGTATTTAAGCTGCTCTAAAAGGTAAAGAAAAAGACACAGAAAAAAAACATAGTTGTAAAATCAATATATTATTTAGGTAAATTATGTAAATTACTCCACTTCGAATCTAAATTAAAAAAAAAAAAAATTAAAAAAAGTATTCTCTTTAAAGACTGGATATTTTTTCAAATTTTTAAATATTTCAAAATAAATAATATAATATTGAAATATTGATCATAAAGAAATTTTAACAATATAATATTAAACTATCGATCTTATAGCTAAGAAATGTTGTAGGTTTTATAAGGTATACCTTAATTAATTGTTATGTCGACATATATGGTTTCCTTCCAATCATATATAAATATAATGACCCATCGGGCCATTCCCGTTCGCCCTCGGAAACGAATGGAAGGGCAGTTTCTCCCAATAGATTTCCGAGGCCTTCACATTGTTCTACTTCTAATATTTCATATCTTGCTTTTGCAATGGCTATTCGTATAATTCTGACTCCGTCTAGATCGTAGTCAGTCACATCGTACATCTGTGGGCAGAACGAAAAAGACAGATAGAGATAAATAAAATTAATTAACCATAACTTGTAATAATATATAACATTATAAACACTAGCTGAATAAATTGGCTTCGCCCGTTGCAGTTTTTTTTATCCGTTTTTATATAACCTACATAGAGAGATTATGTTTAGATAATTACCATTATTTATATTGTAATAAATTATAATCATTATTATGTATTAGATCACCTTAATATATCAAAGAAGCTGGTAAGTGGGCGTCACTCTGATGTACAGAAGGTTAAAAGTGGGTCACTGTAATGGATGGTTTTGAATTCAATGATTTAAAACCATTGTATACGAAATACTCTTCTGAGCAAAGACGGTCAGTCAGCATATAATATTATTAAGTATATTTGACGATATTATTTATTTATTTTGAAATACACGCCCGAAGTCAAATAGTACAGAATTATAACGAATTATTGTGATTAAAGTAATTTATTTTACTATTAGGCATTAGTATAACAGTAGGATAAATTCATTTTTTCAAAAAAATTACATTTGAAAATGTCATAGTGTGCATAAAATATAATATAATGTACTCTAAGAGTCTCAAGTACCCACAAACAATATTTTTGTATAGTAATTACATTCAAATTTGAGCTTAAAATATCTGTAACAATGTAACAATATTAACTATTTGTCGGAACCTTTGTTTTAAATTGTCAATCCTTACCTTTAAAAATTGAACATTTTATAATTCTTTAATTACAAAATAATTTGAAAAATTTCAAGATTTTGATAAATGTTGACTTCACACGCTCATAAAATAGAGCGTGGATTTACCCTCAACTTTTTTAATTTCCCCTAACAAAAACGTTATATGTTAGGTAATAGGTATTCAAGTTTTTTACCGAGAAAACAATTTTGTTCTTTCATTTAATTATTTTTAAAAGAGTGGCAATATTTCGAAAATGTTATGGTGAGTAGAAATTTCTAATATAAACATTCAGTAAAATGTCATCTATATCCTAGTAAATACTTATACTTATTCACCTACATGATTTTTAAAATACCTATTCCAAAATGTGTGTAAATAATTAAGAAGTTTTTTTTTACAACATATTGATATTTGTTTAACAACATATATACAATTAATATACCTAACATTTAATTAATTAACACTTAAGAGGACCGCATAATATGTTGTCTCCGTCCTACTGTCGTATGGCATAGCAAAAACTGTCTTGGAGTGGTAAAGAATCGAGAAGGCTACAGTCATAACTGATAACTGAGAAACAAAATTTTCACCACATAAAGAAGAGAACTTTGGCTGTGCAATATCGTTTTTATTTTTTCAATATTGGAACTTAAAAAATAGTTATTAATGTTTGAATACAAACACAAATAATAATGGATTTTGAAAAAATAAGAACTTTTTTCGTATTAGTGATATCATAAAAATAAAAAAGATGTTGCATATCCAAAGTTCTTATTTTTATTTGGTGAAAATTTAGTTTTTTAGTTTTTACTGTATCTTTCTCTGTTCTTTCCCCTAAATATAATAATATAATAATATATTCTAAAGTTTTCATGTATTCACAAATATTTTTTTTAAATTACAACAAAATAACAAAAATCGTAATTCTTGGTTCTATGTAATTTCGTCAAAATTTGAAATTAAAATGTATAACAATAATAGTGTTTATAATTATTTTAGAGTTTTTGTTACAGTGTGAATTATTTATGAGAATCCTTATTTTAAATTTTCAATCCTTACCTAAAAAATTGAACAACTTATAATTTTTTAATTACATTAAATTTGAAAATTTTCGATTCCGGCAGTTCACAGTAAGATTAAAAGCTAAATTACAAGTGATATTAGTGTAAATACAGTGAAGAATAACGATAAGTATACCACTCATAAGTGATAACTATAGAATTTTTAATTTTATAAACGTCAATGGATTGTTGTCGATTGGTGTTCATTGACGATTAGATGTCACGAAGGTATAACATAGTACCTACCTATATTATACATTATATAATTTATTGTTAAAATATATAGGTATGTATTATCATGATATAACTAACCAGGTATGTTAGCAGCTTATCAAAAAAATATGAGTTTTGGTCCTAGTTCGAGCTGGTGGTTACAGCTGTTTTCGTTGTTCGTGGTATTTGGTTGTATATTCTTTAAAAAAGAAGACATATTTCATTGCTCACCGGTGACTTGGTGGTCATTTTTTCCAATGAACTCCAGGAAAACTACGAGGCGGATAAGGTGCTTAGGTGCTAACATACCTTGATAGTTATATGTGTATTATACTTATTTATATGAATCTTCAAACCGTTGATTAACATATGGTTAATTCATTAAAATAGGAATATAATTTCACAATTACAATAATTATTATAAGTCAAGTTATGTTGATTAGAGGGGGGGTGCATAGTTATCGCTTGCTAGCTGAAATACCAATTCCTATGATTATAATATTTCCGCGTAAGACAAAAAATTAGTATTTTATTTTCATTTAAAATAACATAAATATGGAATACTCACAGCACATCTGAACGATTTTCTCACACTTTTAGTTTCATTTTTCATTGAGTGTGGAGATTTTTCATCGGCCGTATGTTCAAGTAATGAAATATATTTCCAGCCTTTCTCAACTTCTATTTTATAGGTAGGATTTTCTTTCGACAAACACTCAAAAATGAAGTGGTCCATATCTGATTCACATGACAACAGAACAAATATATAAATTTTAAAGTATTACACATTTTTTTGCTCAATAATAATATTGTTGTTGATACAATTAATTGTTATACATTTTCATCCTACTTACCTACATCATAATAGTTATTTAAGTACCTACTATTACCTACTTAATACCTATTAGACCTATTATGAAGACCGGGGAAGTTAGGTATTGATATTTTTTAACTCAGTTAGACCTAACCTTAGTCAAGTATTTGTTTTCAATTAAATTAAAAATTAAGTTAACAGACATTTTTAATATATCAATGAAGTTTAAATTAAGTTAATATACTAATAACACTTAACTTCAATTAATAAATTAATTAAATTTAAAAATAATAAAATGCATTGAAAAATTATTAAAATAAGTAATAATAACTTGGATAGTTAGATAGTAATATACCTAAATATAGATACATATATTATTATGTATGTAAGTAATTTAAAACCTGGAGGGATGTCTCATTTTAGAATGAGAAACAGCTGGGTTCACGTTAATTTAAATTTGAGTATAAATGTGCTTACCATATTGTTTATCATTTATAATTCAAAAAATAAATTACTCAAACATTTTAAAATAACAGGAAAAGTGCAAGTCGGACTCGCGCACGAAGGCTTTCGTACACCTATAAAATGTTGTATGAAGCTCCACTTAAATATTTATTTTATTCTATTTTAGTATTTGTTATTGAATTGGCAACAGAAATATATCATCTGTGAAATGTTATTCTCACTTTTTACATAGTTTTGATAAAATCTATTGCTCAATTCGAAATTGTATCCATAAATCGCAATCCAACGATTTAAAATCTGCGTTCCATGGGCGCAATTGCTCAACACAGACCCGTGGGGTTGAAAAAAAAATTAATAATAATCTACCTATTTATTCAATATACTATATAGATAACGAAATTATTAATTATTGTTTTTGATTCAAAAAAGACTACATATTTTGATAAGAATAAAAGAAAAAAAATTCAAAAAAACCGATAAATAATACCATAACCGAAACTGATAGCATTTGATTCGGAATACGATTTAAGATATTAATATCACAGTATCACACACAAGTATCTGTGCCTTAGATAATATACTTGTATATTATATGATCTATGATCTGTGAATTACTGACTATATAGGCAATAAACAGAGTGATATTATAATTAATTATTAAACTAATGTCAAAAATAATTTTGATATGAAATAGTAAATGTATAGATAAATAAATAGTAAACTCGTTATATAATTGACATAAATTGAAATTAACATTTTAATAAAAATGATTTCGGACAATATTTGTAAAGTAAAAAAAAATAGTGGGGGAGCTCCGCCCCCTGCGCACCCCCATCCCAATTCGAGCATTGATGTGCCAGCATTCGAGTCAATATTGCTAATCACATTATCTATTTGATATTCTGGCGGATTTCTAGTATTTGTTGTTATAGTATCAACAGAATGGATACATAATCTGTAAAAATGTCAACTTTCTAACTTTCATGATTCATGAGATACAGCCTGGTGACAGAAGGACGGACGGACAGCGGAGCCTTAATAATAGGGTCCCGTTTTACCGTACGGAACCCTAAAACCGACTATATTTTTACATGTAAGTGGTGAATATTACATACATTTATATAAGATTTGTATTTTACTGTTTTACAACTAGGTTATTCTAAATATCTATTACATCATTTCTTTTTATTAACGGCGTAAATTGTATGAATTATGAGTGTATAAATGTATAAAAAACCAGTATACTAGGTAGGTAGGTATTTTTGTAATAAAATTATAATATAAAATATAATATATAAATCAAAATGGTCACAATTCATGATTATCATCCAATAATTATTGTATTAAAAATTAATATATAATAATTAATAACTAATGAGTATAGGTACTTAATAATAATAATTATGAAACATGGGTGGGTATCAAAAGTGGGCTCTTATGAACTGATGTCTTTATACGGGCGACTAATGCTACATTGATATACCCCTATATTATGACACTTGTAAGCTTTTTTTTACAAATTATATTATACCAGTATTTGAAATAAAATAAAGTTAAATGTGAAATATAAGATGTCTTCTACATTCCGATAAATAAATATGTATTAAAATCCGATAATTCGAGGCCTGAGAATTTTTCTGTAAAGTCATTTTCGTTGTATAATACACCATATCAACACCCTCCCTAAAAATAATTATAACTCAAGTAGCAACAAAAATACAAAAAATGATTTTCAAATTTTATAGAATTTTAAAATTCTGCAGAACAACGGACACCGGACCAACCATTAAACGAAAATGCTATCCCCCAGCTAGCAAGGCTAGTCTTAATTGGATTTTAAATTTTCATTATATGGAGATGTCGTATTACGAAGGATATCAGAAGTGTACCTAAAACTCTCTATACACACGGTACTCTATTATAGTAATTTATATATAATTATAAAATATATATTGTATTCTGTGTATACTTTCTAAAACAATCACAACAGACGCGATAATCTATACAATTGCAGTGACATTAATACGTAACTGTGCATTTATAGTGTACCTATAGATATAAGTAATAGGTACATAATTCGTAGACTATAATATAAAATATGTTCATAATATTTTAGCCGGAGAAAGCTTTCTTGTAGCAGCGTACCTAACCCTTTCTTTCCCAATGTGTTGCAACAATAACGATTCATTATACGTACTCTCCATGTCATTGCAATGCCCATGTACCATAGTTCTCTCTGGACGTTCTAGCCACAGGTGAAATAATGGGACTAGGCCTGGTAGCACGGCTTTTTCCATATAAGCGCATCCGGTCATCGTTGTCGTTGTTTGTATTGTCATGACCTCAAATTTATTTATTAGTCCGAGTGGAGGACATAATAGCCCATTTAGACTATCTTGGACTGAAACACACAAGAAGAAAAATACCTCATTACATTATACACATATTATATACATATTATGTTGTTTGTATACTATTGTTATTGTTTATTTCACGCACATGATTAAACGTACATCTATGGAAAGAAAAGGATAAAAGGTCATAACACTCATAACCTATAGGTATTGTCCTATTATAACCAATAGCTGTTTATAGTGTAGGAGTAGGTAAAACGATCGAGGGGACATTTGCGACCACAAAGCTTGCCCCTCCTAATACGACCGTCACTGGACATATAAAAATGTATAAGCCAATGTACTCTCGGTCCAGTGAAAGAACTCGCAATTCTTCGCATCCCCACTCTACACCCTGTCGTCAAGACCGGTGTCACAGTTTTCTAATACCCTCAATAGGTTAAAATGTAAAAAGGTTTCAGAGGGGGTGAACGGTGAAACTACCCTATTTTGTCTGGCGGTTATAGTTTCAGGGAGGGGGGATTATACAAATTTATTTTACCCCTCCCCTCGGAATAGAGATATCCTATGATTTTTTTTACTATATAAGTACCGATAGAATTATTGTATGATACAGGAAATTAAAAAAAGTTTAAATACTTAGATTTTATATACCAAGGTATCCACGGGGGACGCATGGATATATGAACAAAATTTCACGGAGTTAAGGCGTATTCTCTCGCTGGACATATTATAGTAGACATATCAATATAATATAATAAAATATCCTTATTTTAATATATTAAATGTAAAATACAAAATCTTAAAACAATATTCACCGTGTCCACTTCAGAGAACGTAATACCCGGATGTGTCGTCTCCGTCTTACAAGTGCATAACATTTTATGCTCAGCAGAATACGTGTAGCTCAGTTAGTTTAAAAATTAGAGTAAATTGACCTCTTATAAGATTGAAAGATAAGATTATTATCTAGGCAATCTCATCGGCTTTTTATTATGTTTTAACTAACAGAACTACACGTGTTCTGCTGAGCGTACAATTTTCTATGTTAGGCACTTGTAAGATGGAGACAACACATGCGGTTATCACGTCCTCTTAATACCCAATGTTTAATATTATATGAGTCTATACAACCATTATTAACACTATAGTTATTATAATATATTATTGTAGTAAAATTATGAAATACAACGATCACAGTAGTAATAATTAAATACTAATCAAGATAAAATAAATATTTAAAAACAATAATTTTTTTTTAAACAAACCAATATTAGCTGTAATACATAATAATGGTAAAAATAAATATCTTTAATATTTTTATGATTAATTATAACATATTATTATATAAAATAAAACATGATACAGATTACTCACTGTGATTGCGGTCGCGTTTATCTTCTTCCGTCATACGATGTGCTGTGTAATCTCCAATCTTCGGGGCTGCGAACACGGAGTAGGTGATGGCTAGCAAGAGTAATATTTTTTCTATATATTTCATCATGTTGAGAGTCTATCGAGAAACCAACTTAATGTGAACAGCAATTAAAAAAACGGAAGGAATAACCTCAAAACTGTAGTAACTAAGTCAGCTGCGTGTGAGAGAAATTGTGAAGTTAATAGCACGGTTACCACAGTAATGCCGAGCTGCGGGTCCGTGTTTCCTTTTATAAGCCGCCTTTGCCGTGGTGGGGTGGGGCGGGGTTGTGCAAGTGGTTCACCCTGGTGGTTGAGTGTTCGACGCGAACTCGGGACGCTACATCGAATATTGTGCAGCACGGATACGCTCCTACAGAGAACATAAATCTCAATATAATAAAATAAAAAGAGAAATCGTATTCTACTTATAATAATATTCTTCTTATTTTTCTTTTGCGTTGCAACACATAATATCTTTGGTTCCCCGTTGACCTAGTATCATTCATAACTCGGTCTGGCCATGCACGTATTTCGTATAGTGTAGGTATACCATACCTACACCTACCTACTGTATGTCTGTATAGTAACAACACCTCAACTTTTTATCTATCGGTGAGGATGCACATTATAAGGTATAAGGTCCCAGTAAAATATTGCTACTGTTTTGATTTTCGTCGATAACTACCCGTTTTTTAAGAAAATCACATCCACATGGGGTCGAAATTTGCGTACTATTGGGACGATATTATTAGGATTATTTATAGATAAAGTGATATTCAGAATATATAATTTGCAGCACCGCTTGCACCCCCCCCACCCCCTAGGCTGGCACTGAGTACAAAATATTATGAGTTATAACATATAACGTCATAACATACCTACATATTATGATATTACATATTTTGATTATTACTATCCATCATGATTTTTTAACATAATACTGACCATTGCAATTTGTATGATTTGTTCAGGCAATTACAATTTTTAAGTTTTATATATTTTTTGGCATATACGCTTACTTAACTATTATTTAATAAGGATGATTATAATATAAAATTATGAATTTTTGTTTCACAAATCACAATAATTAGGATATTATATTAATTTATAGTGTTACTTGATTTTCTTCAATGGCGGAGTGTACACTAAAAAAAGGTACTCGTGGCAGTTACATGCGCCCAAAAAAAAAAACGTACATCTGGACTGTTTTGCATGGTCCATAATATGCACACATTGTATACTACCTACCTACATGTATAGAAATATGAAAAACATGACACTCAACAACGACACCGTGTAATAATATTATTTCAAATAAACCTACTTAAGTGTCGTGCATCGGTGTACCAGCAAAAAGTTTTACGCAATATTCTAACTTTAATTCAATTTATTTCATAAGTCACACATTAGCACAGTCAACACACACACATATATATATATATATATACCGTGTGTTCAATTTTAAAGGTAACAGGAAATATTTCGATCGTATGACCTTGAATTTGATTCGGGGTTTTTAGACTGCATATAGGACTTATAAATACATATTTTTTTAATAAATTCAAATTTTTATTTTTTTTTTATCAGCGCATTTTTTTTTTATCACCCCGATTCAAATTCAATGTCACACGATCGAAATATTTCCTGTTACCTTTAAAATTGAACACACGGTATATACACCATATAAGATGGAAAAACACAACCCCTTAATACACTACACTCTAACCTAATAAGTAATAGATTTTATTATTTTAAAAAGGATATCTTATAATAATAATGTGTTTTAAATCGTGCAATATTAACTGCAACATACAATTTTATATTTAAGAATAGTCTTACAATACACCAATAATAAAGTAAATTTTAAAATATTCGTTATGTACCTGAATAGATTGACAAGTGCAGAAGGATGTATCAATACATTACGTAGGTATACTATTATAGCCACGTACCCCCTCCATCACAAAGCATAATACTAGGGAAGTCTAATAAAAATATTTTTTTGTCACGTCTGCACCGTAAGTTTAATTTTCGACGAGGGTTGAAGTAATCGAATATGATGTTAATCCCTCCAGCGAACAGTAAATATAATTATTTATATGAACTGGACTAAATATACAGACCCTTAAAACGTGTCCGTGCAATTTTTAAGTACAATGTTGGCGTCACGTTGTCGCGCACTCGCTGAATACTCCTCAATAATAACTACAAAACAAGAAAAACTGGTCACCGCCGCCGCCGCCGGAAACGCCTCAGTAGGAATTCTGATTCCCAAACACAATACATTTGACCATTTTGTCACAGACGGCAGACCCTCTGCACACATTTATAAAATATTACCTACCTGTATAGAAATACGAAAAACACGAGAGCATATGTCAATTATGGTCGAAATGACCTTTTTACTAGTAAAAAATCCATCGATTGCAACGAATTATTTAGGTAGGTACTAGCTATCGATTTAAAAGAAAAAAATGTTTTTAAATATCCCAACCCTGATTAAATGTATTAAACTTAAATAAAAAATATATAATTTAACTTGGCAGGTGTTAAAATATTGCTTAAAATTGGTTTCTATTTTTAAAAATAAATTGAGGGATTTAAATTGGTAAAAAAAAAATAATAAATCAATGTTTGATCGTTCCATTTCCATGAATACCAAATTTGTCCCTTTATAAATAAAACTGGAATAAGCGCCTTTTGGAAAATTCCTGACAAAAATTCTGCTGAATTAATTTTACCTGACGAAAATAAGCACCACCGTCGACACCAACCATGGGAGCTCAGTTACTATTGTCAGTGTGTTACCTACGAGTTGGCATCGGCGTTCAATGTGTTAAATAACGAATGACTGTGTAATAGCTATTATTATTTTTTGGAAATTTGAATAATTTTGTATTATATTATTTTATGTTTATGACATTTTTATTTTCCATAAACTTAAGAGCGCTTGAGCGCCCATATACCAACATTGGCCGGGTCAAGGATACCCACTTGCCCCCTCCCCCTTAGATCCAGCACTGCATTTAAATCATTTAACACCTGTCTTAAACCTTATATACTCGTTTTACTTATTTTGTATAAAATTGTACTTGTTTACGCTTTAAAAATACAATTTAGTGGGTGCCACGATGTTCTAACATAATATTATATTATAAGTTAACATTATAACTTATAAACAATATTTTATATTTCCGATTATTATTATTATTATTGAACTAAAGCATCGTAAACTATGGCCATTGAAATTTTGCAGGGAAATTAAGGGTTTTTTTTAGAAACACGTATGTATGTAGAGAGAGGATTCGTCACTAAACACCCGGGTGGTCACCAATCCGGGAGGTACTGACGATGGACTATGCTTGAACGCAGCACAAATTACCACCTCGCCAAACCAGACTCTCCTTGGGGTTTTATAATAGGAAACAAATTAACTTAAGCTTAAAGTGACAATATAATTAATTAAACTCACAAGTTACTGCATAACATTGAAAACAATTTAACTTATTGCGTTAGAAATTCCTTCTAAAAAAAAAACCATACTGTAACAACTTTAAATGTCAACT